CCATTTGTCTGAAACGGTATAGGGTTTCCTGCCTAGGCAGGGGGTTGGACTAGAAGACCTCCAAGGTCCCTTCCAACTCTGCTATTGTATTGTATATGATAAAGGGAGACATGAAGGTTGATCAGAGGCAACTAAGGATGCCTATTAGAGAAAAGACCCATTAATGCAATAGAGCATTAATTAAGATTCTTAGGGAGCAATATACTCAGAAATTATTCACAAGATTGTCTGATATTATAAAAACAGATTTAACAAATGCTATAGAAGAGCAGATTTTATTGGATAAAACTGAGATTGGATCCAGGGGTGGTATTAACTTACTTTCCCTACCGGTTCACAAATGTGAGCGTCAGCGTCATCATGTGATATATCATGACTTTTTCCCCTTCGCTAAACTGGGTGTGGGTGTGGCCAGTGCATGACCCATCTGCAAGTTTTATAGCCCTGATATACACAAACAAACTCAAAAACTCTGGACTCACTGACAGTTAAATCCCATATTTTAATTATTACTTCATTTTTCCATCAAATTTTAACACTTACCAAATACCAGACGCACATAGTACAACCTCTCAACTACTATAAGATAAAACAAAGCCACTTTATATCAACTAATAAATGTTAATATCAATATTAGTGATGCCCATTGTCACCTTCAATTGTAAGATATCATACACCAGATGTGTTTAAACTATTTGGGAACCAGGCATTCTACAAAAGCTTCACGTAACCATGTGAAAAGAACAGCCTCTAGGTTGCAGAGACATTAATTGCAACATAAAGAACATAATAATAAAATGGGAAGCAAAGCAAAACTGGACAGTTACAATAATACAACTGAAGCTCCATGAGGCACATAAAAAAATAGGTGGAGCTTTGATCGTACTGCCATCTTGGGTTTTTTTTTGTCCACACTGTGTGAAAATCCTTAATAAGAATTATACACTTTACAGAAGGAATCTTAACTCTTCCTACACTGGAGCATTTTTCTTTAATTTGCTGTGCAACATCCAGATTGGCCTTTAAGTCAACGTCATCTGGAAGCACCCTCTCCTCACAATAGGTACCAGCCTTTCTAAGTAGACCAGAAAACAATCAAAAGCTTTCAGTACATCGGGGTTGTATGTCTTAAAACACATCCTATCATTTCAACAAGACAAAATCAAATTTTGTCATAAATCGTTAAAACTCAAAACCTTTAAGAGATTCACAAAAGAGTTTCATGACATTAGAACAAAAGTGCTGACTGGTCTTTCAAATTAAAATCCAATTTAAGCCTTCTCATTTGTTAACCATACATCACTAGAGCAGTAGCAAATCCTAGAATAAATTAATATTGTGGAATGAAAAGTGTGTGCTGATCCTCCAACGAAAGGAGGGATATTGATACATAATCATTACGTGAAAATAATATGGTTGGCAATATGTAGGGAAATGAACCAGCCCTTCCAGAAAAATTGGTTGATATTGCAACAAAATGTTGTTTAATTAATTTTATTCCATCTAGATGATGTTCTTCAAAGGAAGCTTTTATGTTTCAGGAACATCATATTTTCATAGGCTCATAAACAGGCCCATACATGAGTAAGCAATGTCATTCTTTCTCGGGTAGTCTCTCTCTTTTCTTTTTCTTTTACTCTTCTCAGAACACTCTCAAAAAGCCCCAAACAATTTGAGCTACATGTACCATAGGAGCAGATTTGGTAAGTTCTTGCTACCTGACCTTGTTTCTAGATGATGAAAGCAGGAGTAAAATATAGCAGGTTCTGACAGGTTCTGGACAACCGGTAGCGGAAATTTTGAGTACTTCGGAGAACCAGCAAATGCCACCTCTGGCTGGCCCCAGAGTGGGGTGGGAATGAAGGTTTTGCCATGCAAACCAAGCCACGCCCACGGAACCAACCAGTAGTAAAAAAAAAATGAATTTCATCACTGGATGAAAGGATGATGGGATTATTTCTGGTATTGCAGTTCTGAGAGCGCAGTCAAGGAAAATAAACATACTCTAAACCAGTGTTTTCTCAATCTTGGCAAGTTTAAGATGGGTGGATTTTCCCAAACTGGTTGAGGAATTCTGGTAGTTGAAGTCCACCCACCTTAAACTTGCCAAGATTGAGAAACACTGCTCTAAACTATGATTCCATACTGTGATTATGCCAACTCAGGACTGCAAGTTTGGACAGCATATTAAGCCAAACCTTGGTATGCTTTAGCATATCATACAAATATAACTATAATGTTGGAAGATTTTTGGGGGGAGGTATGAGAGGCCAACTTCTATTTGATATCAAATTCAGGTGCAGAATGCACCAATAGCATTGCTGAAAAATAATTTCCCAGCCATTGTTCACATGTGTCAGGCAAAAGAGAACACACCTCCTAAAGCAGTTTTTTTCCCCTGTGGAAAAGGATTAACATTCAAAACTTTCTCCTACTGTTTAACTTGAAATTTGGCACCCTATAATTATCGCCAACTGGTTCCAGTTCCACCCTTTGGAGTTCCAGAGCATAAAGGTTGCCCCTGCTTCTGCATTACTGCAATTTCTTGTATCTAATGTCAACTTGTTAGCACTTAAATAACAACAGGAACACTGTAGCTGGAAAATAAATTATACACCTGTAGTATGATTTCTTTTCCCCCACCCCACTCCTCAG